GATGAGAACACGTTCTTGGCCTAATAGTTAAAAAAAAAAAAAAAGTCCCACAAGAGAACAAAACCAAACAAAAACCAACAACAACCACTTGTCATGTAGCAAACGCTTTTCCTCCCATGTGGCAAAAAGTGTCTGTGGCTGCGGTAGGGCCAGGAGGCAGGCTCTGACATCAGCAGCTGCTCTGGAGAACTCTGCATGGAAGTTACATTTTAAAAAAAAAAAAAAACGAGGGGAGGCAGGCAAACAAAGTAAAGGTTGGAATGAATCGCTGTTTGCTTTCTAGTTTTCTCACGTTCCCTTCCAGCTGTTTTCAGAGCACAGCCACACTTGGCTGTTTGATATAACCTAGTCAGGAGGAACCAGCATAGCAGAAACTGGAACAGTGTAAGGGGGCCAGCTGGGGTCTGTGCATCTAGTCAAGCTACTGTGTTGTTCCCTTTGGAGAAGTGCTGCTAGAGACCATGCTTTCAGCAACCGATGTTCTTAGAAAGCTGGATTGGCTTTCTGGCTATGAAACCTTTGTATATAAAGTAGTTTTAGAGAAGCTCAGATAGTTGACTCTTTGTGGATGTGGTGGCCCTCATGGCTTCCCTGTAAGCATTGAAAATATTGTAGTGATATGCAGATATGTTTAAATGATCTCATATTTTGTAATTTGAGTTATTTATTCATTTAAATACCATCAATCTGAAAAGCATCTTCTGATTCTTTTTTATACAAAGTAAAATAATATGGAAGGAGAATTTGGCTTGCAGACTAAAAGCCTGCTTTTTTTTCCAAACATTTTATAATGAATAATCTGAAAGGATTTGTGTTTTTTTCCCCTTGGAAATGTAAGAAGTATGAACTGAGTTTCCTGAAGAATTAAATGGGTAATTTAATATTAGGTGTTAGTGTCACTTCACAGTAGAAGGATGTGAACGCTGAATGCTCAGTGCAGCCTTTTCTGAATGCTTGGTTAAATACCCGTTTACCAATTCTTGCAGAAGCTGTAACATGTTCATTTTCAATCAGCAGCGAAGCCAGGCTTAATCAAATTGTCCTATAGTTGGTGATTTTGAAGAAACATTCATTTGCTTTAAAGGAACTATACATTTTTTTTGAGAATGAAAAACAGTGTGTAAGGAAAACTTGTATTCAAGATAATCCTCTGAAAAGGATGTGAATATTGGCTCCTCTACCTGCTTTTTTAAAAAGCTAAGATTTGCCATGCCAATTTTCCACGTACTACTAGTAATTCTTGTTACCAAATGGAGCTTGAGCATATTGAAACACTTCTGCAACAGTGAGAGGGACTCGGATAGCTCTGCTGTTGGCAATGTTGCTGCACAAGAAACAAAACATGGTAATGAGGTTCTGATAGGAAAACTCCTGATCACTATATGAAGGGTGATCCTCATGCTAAAGGATGTGCCAAAAAAGGGTGATGGGTGCTTAGGGTAATGCTGATCCCAGTGAATGGGGGAGGAAGGGCAACAGAAGAAAGGGATGAAGGGAGGGGGAACTGAGGATATTGCTTAGGCATCATCAAAGGACTCACGAATGAAATAAGCCAGGTACTAACTTAGTGTTACCTTTGACTCAAAACTGCTGGAGAAGTGGCTACAGGGACTCTGACCTCTGCAAAGTGCCTGGGTACTGGAGTAAGCATCTTGCTGTCTCAAGAAAATCCTCAAGAACCCTTTTTTTCTTTCTAATTAGTGCAGGATTTTTTTTTTTTGTGACTGGCAGAGGAGTTCTTTATAGAAGAGACATTTCCCTTTTTGTAAGGGCTGTCAAGCTGCTTTGCTTCATTGGAGTCCTGTAAAGATACCTGTTACATAGGAACATGGCAGCTCTGATGCAACCTGTAGTGTTTCCAAAAAACACAAAAAGGTCCTTTGTGAGTACCCTAAAAGAAACTAGGCTGGTGGGGGTATCTTCATACAGACAAGTCAATAAAAAGCTCAGAGGTAGGTGCGTTATTCCCAAGAGTGAGGGATGTGAGGAATATGCAAGGATTTAAAACACTGGTAAATGAGCTGGAAAAGGTGTGATGAGTTAAGTGGGCAATTAAAGCTGTATAGCATTATCAGAGAAGAAAAAGTTGCAGAAAAGAGAAGACCAGCAAATGATGCTGATCCTGAAAGACCGTGTGACAGTGCTGGATGACAGTGCTGGATGAATTTCAATGCAAACAAAGGTAAAACTGCACAGGGTGGAGGTAGGAGAGGCAGGATAAAAAAAAAAAAAAGCCTTTATGATTTCTGAGTGGAGTTTAGTTTAAAAACGAGCTCTTGATGTAAGTAGAGCTGACACTGTCATACACTTACCAGCAGGCAAACAAAGCAGCTTAGGGATTGCTTGAAAAGGGATAGCTTTGAAAGGAATAGAGAATGCTAATACCACAGTGTATAAAGTCTTTGATGCACCTGTTTCTCCAGTGCTGTGTGCAGTGTTGATGTGGCTGTCTCAAAATTATAAAAAAAAAAAAAAAAAGAATAGGAGAATTATTAAACGCTGAGTTCCCACCGCTTGCAATAACCTCAGTTTGGGGGTTAAATAGTTCCTGTGTAAGGTGCTGTGTTTGTCTCTGGAACTGCCGGTTCTAAAAGAGCTCCCAAGTGCCTGGTCTCATCATGCTCCTTCTGTTGTTCCACTTCAAGAGTCCCATCCTGTTGCACATGTGTCCTGCCTGGAATCTCCTCAGCTTGTCAGTGAGCTGGGACTTCGGATGGAGGGTCTGGGAGATTGCACATTGTAGTTCTCCCATCTAAGATGCTTCCAGCAGGGGGAAAATCTGCATCTGTGTCTTTAAGTTTTGGGCTCTTTGAAGTATGGAATAGTGAAGGGGTATTCCATGCTTCCCAAGGGGTGGACTGCATTTGGTAAATGCCCCGTGAAATGTTGTTGCTTTCCCTGCAAATGCTCATCTCCATATCAAGGTATAGTAGGACTGCCGAGCGGGAATAGTCAAAAATCACAATTCACACTGATGGAAGTGAAGCCTGGCTTAAGGAACACAAAATCTTAAATGTTACAGCATTTTTGCAGGACTCAGTATCTACCTTTTGGAATGTGAGCCTTTAATATACTCCCAGGATTACCCTTTCAAGTTTTTCTCTATGATGATGACTTATAAGGGAAACAGTAAAGGTAAAAGGGGTAGCTTAAAAGATGAAATATTTGCAAGGGGCATGGAGACAGTTTAATATACCATATTGGGGTCAGGAGCAAATGTTTACCACTATCCAGCCAGACTTGAGAGAGGACCAAAGAAGGCCAGGGCAACTTATGAGATGCTATTAGAGCAAGAAGAAATCCTTTAAAATCCTTGTGTCCAAATGTATAAGAGGGAAAGACTACGATTTGTCAGTTAAATATAAAATGATAATGCAAAGAAAAAAAGCACTATGATGTGAGTTTTAAAACTCGTATGAATAATTTTGAAACAGGAGCAGTGTGACTGCTGGAGAGGTGATGCACAGTTTAAAAAAGTGGCTGTTTGCATATGTGCTGTGGATGAGTCATAGAGTCATATAATGCTTAAGGTTGGAACTGCAGGAGTTTGCATGCAGGAACACTTCCATATGGAAAGCTCTTCAGAGAATCTGTTTAAAGCTGAAATGTGCTCTGGAGAGACTAAAACTCAGACAAAAGGAGCAGTAACAAGTTGCTGGGACCAGACTGTGCCACCAATGAGCTCTACAGGAACTTGAGGATGCATAAGGCAAGCTACCAACCGTGCACCCTCTTCCCTGGTACAGAGGCAAACTGAGAGTTGTTTCCAAGGTGTGCTTCAGGGCAAATGTGCCAAACCACAGCTGGGAAGCTTAGTACCAAGCTCATTCATAGAGACAATAGAGAAGAGGATCAATGAATATTGGGGAAGAGTTGAGGCAAGATTTATACCAGGAAGTTGTACTTCAAAAGCCTCTCGGAGTTACTTCAGTGGAATCAACAAGTGAGGGCATAAAGGAGATGAGGTTGGTGCAGTTTGGTTGAGCTTCCAAAATGCACTTGAGGCTATTAGAGTAGTGAAGCTGTTCTGGGATGAAGGGGGAAGTCCTCACATGGACAGAACTTAAAAGGCAGGAAACAGTTAAAGGGAAGGTTGTTTTTTGGTGGAGGGAAGTCAGAGTAGATGTCCTCAGTATGTTAACAAATAACCTGGTGGGAGGTGGGGGTGATGAAGCAGGAGGTGACAACATCCCCTGATGAGGTTATTCAGGGTAATAATAATAAAGGCTGAAGGATCTTAGGAGACTGAGCAGCTGGCAGAGAGAACGGTGGCTCAAATTCGGTGTTAGTAACCACAGGGATGCTTATGGGAAAAGCACCAAGCACTGAGCTCTCATCTGACTCTCTTCATCTTGGGGTTAGGAAAACTAGCCCCTTGCAAATGTCTCCCTGGGGAACGGCAGCAGCGGTCAGCTCAGCAAGTCAAGCTCTGGGAAAGGAAAAGAGATCAGAGAACTGCACCATGGCCAGGTATAATCCCCTGCCCGCTGCATGGTCCTGACCCTCCATCTCCGATGGGACTGCATGGGAGTGGCAAAGCCCCAGGAAGGGCAAAGAGGGTTTCCTCAGTGCTTGGGGTGCTGGATTATCCTGTGCGTTTAAAAAGACCTTGGATAAATTCAGGGAGAAAAATCAAGGGAGGGCTGTCACGGGCAGTGGCTCAGAATGTCCTTGGCCTGTAGGAGACCGGAGGCCAGGGGGTTATTTAGGGCTGCTCAAGGCTGTGGGCTCTTCTCGGATGCAGAGGTGACTTGTGGGATCTCAGCATCAGCCCCAGCAGAAACCACGACAGAAGGAGAAAATCTGGTAAAGGTGCTGTCCTTGCGCAGAGCTGCACGGTGCGACGGGATCCTTCAGGCGAGGCGGCTGTGCACGCCTGAAGGGTGTCGGTGCCGGAGCCCGCAGCTACGGCCGTCCTGGACCCCCTCCGCTTCCTTCCTCCTGCCCGGCAAGGAGCGGAGCCGCGGTTCCGCTGCGCGCCCGCGTCCCGCCACCCCCCTCGCAGCATGCGCCCCCCCCGCCATGGCGGCGCCGTGCCGGACACGCACGCTGCAGGTGGTGGACACGGAGTTCAGCGCTGACACCGTGGAATGGTGCCCCGTGGAGGGCTGGCACAGCATCCTGGCCTGTGGCACCTACCACCTGCGCCCGCCCATCGCGGTGAGGGGTGGTTCCCTCGCGCGGGCTCCCAGGGCTCTGCTGGGTCCCACCGTCTCCTCTGACCACCCCGGCCTCTGCGTTGTGGTGGCCGACAGGAGCCCTGGCTGGGCCGGAGCGGGCTGCTGAGGCCCTAGAGCTGTGGCCTCAGGGCATTAGTCCTCAAGAAAGGGGCCGGCAGAGGAGGAGCCCCGTGGCCTGCACTTCCCGCAGTACCAGCGAGGCTTCAGCACAGAGAGGTGCAGAGGAGCAGGAAACGCTGCTCAAACTGATCTTTTCTTGCCTGATTTTTGATGCAGACCAACCCTGGTGGAGGCAATGGGGCCTGCGACCGGACAGGGCGGCTCTACCTGTACCACTACAACGAGGAGCAGCCTTGCATCCCACTGGCAGAAATCCAGAGGATGGACACCCCTGCCATCCTGGACATCAAATGGTAACATCAGCTCACAGAGGCCGGCAGCTCGAAGTAGCGGGAGACCTTAGTGCAGGCTGGCGCGGTGAGCTCCTTTAGGCTGTTGGCACAGCTGCAGCTCTAATATTCACTGGCTACACTGCCCTGACTTGTGAGAGGCAAAGATTTTTGGGTTTATGCCAGCGAGCAAAGATCGGGTTCATTTCAATATTAAGATCTCCTGCTTACTTACGGCCAAGTGGGATCAATGACCGTTGGTATCTTTTGTTCAGTATTATCTTTTCCCTCAGTGCAGGTTTGTGGGAACATGAGGAACCTTAGGTTTTCTTCATAAGATTTTTCTCTTCGTCAAGTACCCTTTCCTTCACAACCTAGAATAGAATTTATGACTCTGGTCTCCTCTTTAAATGCAAGACAGAGATATATCCAGTGCTTATTTAACTGTCATTCTTTTAGGTGCCACCTTCCCATTGCAGAGCATCCCATGGTTGGCGTTGCAAACTCGACAGGCGCTGTGCAGTTCCTCCAGCTCGTGGGCAGTGAGGTAGGTGGCTGTAACGGCTGCTGCTCTTGATGCTGTCTTTAATCCAGACTTAATACATCTCCAGCTTTGTTAGCGATGTTCAGAGTCTTTGCAAGGAAGCTGTATGTGTTCCATGGCTTTCTCAATGTGTTTAGCTTTTAAATACTTTTTCTCTTGTCTTCTGACAATAGTTTTCATAAATTCCCCAAATTCCATTCTGGCACTTGAGAACCTGCTTGGGCTTCTGCAAAGTGTAGGAGAGGAGAGGGATGAAGAAAGCAGAAGGAAACTTTGGAAACTCACTGGAGAATAAGCATGGACTAACAAACGACATAGCAAAATGTGAAAAAAAATTGTTAAAATCGGGGAAAAGTTTGGGACAGGTTTTTTTTCTTTTTTTTCAATTGACGAGGGGACTAATCAAGAGAGCTGTTTCCAGGGAGTGGAGAAAATAGTAGCCAATCTATGGCAGGATTTAGTGACCAGATCATTTCCCCTGTGCTTCAGGGCTCACTGAGGGGAGGTAAAGCTCAAGGAGAGTTTCATGGGAGACAGGAAGCAGAAGGGCGGAGATCCTGTGTTTGCAAACATTTGCCCTGCAGCTCCTTCTAAGATTGTTACGGGACATTTAATCTCTTCCGTAGCGTAGACGAATCTAATCTCCAGAAAACACCTCTCATAGCTGTGAGTGGTAGAGATCTGCCGTCTTCCCAGTGTTAACCCATTCCTTTTCTTTCCAGTAGAAGAACAGCTGCATGTTGGAGCCGTGCTTCAGGGTTGATCTGGGTGCGCAGCGCCTTGCCTTGTCCTTAGACTGGTCCACGGGACGAGAGCAATGGTGAGGATAGGAGAGAGAATAGTTGGTCTTGGAGGCTGGGGGCATGTGTGTGCCTATGTGTGCACATGGACCGTTTGCAGACATAACTTGAGGACTTTGGTGAACGAACTCCTTCGACTTTTTATGATGTGGCTTAAGACATTCTTGTTCCCAGCTGTCTCCCAACAACTTCTTTAAGATTTACTGCTTTTAGAGCAAGTGTGACAAAAGAACCAGAACATACTCTTTGGTCACTCTAACAAGAGCAGAGACTAAACCAACAGCAAATGTTAGGTGGTTCTACAGTGAGCAGTGGCAGGAGAGACAAGGGGCATGTCTACCATCCTGTTGCCTTTGGTAAAAACAAAAACTGGAAAAAAGGGCAGCTTGATCCACTGCATCCAACTGAGTTTCTCTGTCTGCTCTAAGAACTGCTAAAGTTTTAATGTGAAGTTCTACTTAAGAGCTGCTAGTAAGGAAGTAGCATGTGTAGGAAGTTTAAACTTGGTGGTTTCATGAAAAACATGAAAGAGCTGGTTTGGAAGTAGTTTCTTCATCTCACAAATGCTCATAGACTGGGTATCAGAAAGACCAAAAAGGGTTGCGATGTGTTTTCTGCAAGTTACATGCAAACAGAATACTGCACGGAGCATGAGGTCGGTAATTGCTGGGGAACAGGTCAGTGCTGTCCTTAATGCTTTATGGCAAGTAATTTAGTGCTTTTACTAATGAAAGCTGTTTCTGTGCTGTTTAATATAAGTAGAACTTGTGGTTCTACTTTCCTTTTCCCTTACATTGTCCTTCAAGATAAATGATAATTGCCATCATGAAAAGGCCCTTTAAAGTCTATCACTGATGTATCCTCAGGGACAAACGGCCACTTTCTCAGTGTGGAACGTGCAGCTTTTCCATCTCTGTAGAAATAGTGTGTGGGGATGCAGAGATCTGGTGACCCCATTTCCCTAGTCTTTGAATCCAGGAGATTCATGATGGCTGGTAGCTGTGTGGAACTGAAAAGAAGCCCTAAGTCATGTACCGACAATTGCAGGTAACCAAACAAGTATTAATTTCAAGACAGGTTTTTGAGAAAATCTGTGCACTGAACTGCAACACTTCGGCCTGTGCTCCCTACCAAATCTTGTCCAGATACTGCAGGTGTCCTTTGCTACAGAAAGAGAGCAGAAAGCTCAGGATCAGCCAGTGCTTCAGATGCCTGTGATAGCAGAGAAATTAAAATCTCATATTCTAGGAGAGGTAGCAGACTCTGAGATATCCTTGCCAGTTTGACCTGGAGGAAAAAAAATCTCTCTTTTAAATGGAACTTATGGATTTAATGCCAATCATAGAATCATAGAATGCTTAAGGTTGGAAGGGACCTCTAGAGGTCATATAGCCAAGCCCCCTGCACACGCAGGGTCACCTAGAGCACGTGGCACAGGACTGCGTCCAAGCGGGTTTTGAAGATCTCCAGAGAAGGAGACTCCACAACCTCTCTGGGCAGCCTGTTCCAGTGTACCGTCACCTTCACTGTTAAGAAATTTTTTCTTAAGTTCCTGTGGAACTTTTGATGCTTCATTTTGTGGCCGTTTCCTCTAGTTCTGTCTGTGGCCACCACTGAAAAGAGGCCAGCACCATCCTCCTCCCTCCCTCCCTTGATTCCTTGAGGTACTTATAGACACTGCTCAGGTCCCCTCTCAGCCTTCTCTTCTCCAGGCTGAAGAGGCCCAGCTCCCTCAATCTTTCCTCTTAGGGCAGATGTTCCAGGCCCCTGATCAGCCTTGTAGCCCTGCACTGGACTCTCTCTAGCAGCTCCACATCCCTCTTGTACTGTGGAGCCCAGAACTGGACACAATACTCCAGATGTTGCCTCACCAGGGCTGACTAGAGGGGCAGGCTCACCTCCCTCAACCTGCTGGAGATGCTCTTCTTAATGCACCCCAGGATGCCATTGGCCGCCTTGGCCATGAGGGCACACTGCTACCTCATGGTCAATTTGTCATCCACCATGACACCCAGGTCCCTCTCTGCAGAGCTGCTCTCCAGAAGGTTGGTCCCCAGCCTGTACTGGTGTCTGGGGTAAGCATGCTAGAAGTCAGTTATGCATCAAGGGAAAAGAAAGACCCAAGTCTTTGTTTTGCTTTTGCAAATGTGAGTTGATTGCTCTCTGTGTGAGATCAGTGAATGGGGATCATTATTGCTGATGATTTTCAGACAGAACGGACTGAAGCTGAAAAGGACTCTGTAGATGCACACATTGCTTCCACTTTGCCACCAGTTTCTCTCAACGTTTACTTGAATCAAATGTATACAGTAATATGTTACGTTATTTTTCACATTTTGGCTGTTGTTTTTTACTCTAGCAAATTCTTATGGCATGAGTTTTTAGTAATTTCTAATGTTTTCTCTGTATTCCACTGTAGTGGATGTCCTTTGAGAGTGATCAGCAGTGATTCAGGGGGGAAACTGAATCTGTTCTCCATCGATGAATCTGCTCCTTCTGTGCATGTCCTGAACCAGTGGGAGGCTCACAGCTTTGAGGCCTGGATTGCAGCTTTCAATTACTGGGACACAGACGTTGTATATTCAGGTCCGTGAATGCTGGGAATCACAACTGTGGGGTTGGGAGGGGGAATAGCTTGTTCAGGGATGCGTGTTCCTTGGGATCTTACTTTCCAGAGTTGGGTATACTGCTTACTTCACACCTTTTATGAGTGTTGGTGCCCCTGTTAGGAGTAAAAGTCCTCTCAATTGTGGGAAGTGGTTTGAGATAATTTGGAGAAGAAACATCTTTCACACTGCTTGCTTTGACTGCCTAATGGGAGAAAGGATGGTGATGTCCTGGGGTTTGCAGAAAAACACTGGGAATTGGAGAGCTTCTGGATTCCAGTCTTGCTTTGTTTCAAAAGCTTTTGCTTAGCAAAAAATCCTACACTAGTGTCCTCTACTCCACTGAAAAGCAATGAGCTCTTGTGATTGCCCGTATGTGATTGCAGTGGTGGTGCTGTGTGTCACTCAGGAGCTGTTACATAGCAGCTGGTCTGAGGAGTCTCTTACTCAGCGCTGGTCATTTGGATGGTGAGTTGGGTACCAATATTTTGTCTTCGTGCAGGAGGAGATGACAACTTGCTAAAGGGCTGGGACACAAGATGCAGTCCTGAGTCTCCTGTCTTTGCCAGCAGGAGGTAAGAGAGCTATGTCTACAACTGCACCCCAAAGCTGTCGTAAATGAAGAGTAAGGTACCTACCAGCTGCTCATGCCCACCATGAAGATGGTGGTAGCTTCCTCATAAAAGGGTTCTGATTTACACTTCGGGGATTTTTGTTGTTGTTGAACTTATATAATTTGAATTGTGGCACTTTTTTTTAGAAAATATCTTGTCTTCCAGTGTTCATTCACTTGAAGTAATCCTCCTTCCCCCCTTTTTTTTCTTCTCTGGTGGTACTATATATCTTGTAGAATATGATTAAAACAGTCTGTTCAGTTCTTCAGTGAGATTTGGTACGAAACCTTAAAATACACTGAGGCTTACTGCTATGCAATTATTACTGTTGGAGGTGAAGTCTGCTGGGAGTGCAGTTGTTTTGCTGAAACTCTGATGGGTTCCGAATAGCAGTTTATGGTACAAGAATTACTCCTAGGAAATATGCTTGTGAAGAGACTGCATGGGTAGGAGTTTGGTTCTGGAAAGGTGTTTGGGCTGTGTAGATGTGATTCTACCTGGGTATTCAAAGTGTGTTTGAGTTCACTTTCCTTTCCTGGCCTGAGAGGCTTTGATACAGTAATGTGGGCCTCTATCTTGAAGGAAGACTCCTTTCTCAAGTTGTACCTCTCTCTTTTCCCTCTGATGTTGTTCTTCTGCAGACATTCAATGGGTGTGTGCAGTATTCAGTGCAGTCCCCACCGGGAGAATCTGCTGGCTACAGGCAGGTAAATCTTCTTTAGCTGCTCTTCATTAGATGTGATCAGCCTCCTCTCTTGTTTTGAATGAACAACTGTTTCTCAAGGTGTGCTCTCTTTAGAAATCTAGTGTGGGGATGACCATGTGACATTTCTTCATTTTCTTCTTCATTTTCTTGTCTGCATATTTACTTGTGTTATGTCTCCAGCTACGACGAGCACGTGCTGCTGTGGGACACCAGGAACATGAAGCAGCCATTGGCAGACACCCATGTTGAAGGTGGAGTTTGGAGGTTGAAGTGGCACCCAACTTGTGAGTTTGTGCTGCTGGCAGCCTGCATGCAGAGTGGATTCAAAATCCTTGACTGCCGGGGCAGCATGGGTGAGTGCTCAGCAGAGCAGAGATGTTCTGTGCTGCTCTTCTTTCCTACTCCCAGGTTAATGGGTAAGCTCCAACTCTGAACTTGCTAGAAAGACCCAGATGTTGTTAATAGAGAAATTCATTCCAGCTTGAGGTAACTCCTCTATCTTTCTCAGAGTAATCTTGATAGTTGGGTAAATACACTATTACTATTTGTGTGTAAATGCCTGGTAACAATCTTTCACAAGAAGAAAGCCTGTTTGCTTTGATGTGAAGGCATTAGCTGTTGACATGGCTGTCCAAGTTTGTATTCATCTTGATGGTGCAAAGGAGCATTTCGAATGTGGGGATGTCCCACTGACCTGGGTATGAACTGGTATTTGCCACAGAAAAATAGTGCCGTGCAGTCTGGTTAATCTAGCACGGCATGAGCAAGCCCTTCATGTGAATTGCAAAGTATTGCCCTGATAAATAGTTGCCCATGTTGCATTGCAAATATAGCCCTGTATCAAATGGCTGCATTCCTGGGTTTCTCCAGGCCTTGGGCAGATTCACAGCCTGTGATAGGAGGATAAATTTTTTTTTTCTGCACAAGGAACAGGAGACCGGGTGGACTGTGCTAACGCAGCAGCGCTTCTTGATCGCAGTGTTTATGCCTTGCTTTTCTTGATCCTCTCAGCGGCCCACTTGATATCAGAGTCAAATGCTCAAAGCCCCTGGGAAAGGCACACCTGTAATTTATTAATAACCAATCTTTGCAGTTGTATTTATGGCTCAGTGGAGATCACTGGATGGTCTGAGACTTTTTAGGTATTTTGAATAAAGAACTTCCTAAACGCCATGCATATTAAACCTTCTTCTCCTCCTGTTTGCTCGCTGAACAGGGAAAAGTGAAGGCTAGTGAGAGGTGGGTTAAAAATTGTCAGGATGCTTTTACCTCAGTTGTGAAGAAGGCAGTAACTGGTACTGCAGGATAGGGGAACTCTGCTGATACAACCCAGGCTATATGAGAAAGGCTTGTTAGCTGTCTGTAATGGACTGTTGCATAGCTTGATATCTGCTTATTGCATTTTTTAAAAGCGGAAAACACAGAGGAGTGTCTCATCCTAACATCCTATGTCTTGCACAACTCCTTGGCCTATGGAGCTGACTGGTCCAGGCTCTGTCCGAGGGATTCCCTGGCTGCGCTACAAGACCCAGCTGCTGCGCACCAGTCTTCTGAGGAGCTGCTGGCAAGGCCAGAGGAAAGAGATGAGAGACTGAATTTGCAGGTCCAAAACCTGAAGATAATTTATGAATCTCCTACTGCTACTTTTGATGTAATATTGGATGAGGAGAGTGAAGACCCTGCCTTGCCACTGAAAGCAGACAGGGATACTGACATGGTGCAGGGTGATACGTTGGCTGGGGATGTGGATCCAATTAGAGGCCTGGATGTAAAAAGGAGCCTAGATGTGGCTGGGGGTCAAAACCTAGAGGGAGATCCTGCATCACCAAGTGCTTCTGACCCCAGAGTCTCAAAACGCAATGGAGTGAGCCCGGACAGAATTGGTGATTTAGCTGGACCATTAGACAGGTTAAAAGAAATGAGCATTATAGCAACTTGTTCATTCTATGATAATATCCTACATGTCTGGAAGTGGGAAATGAACCTGGTTACCCCTTCAGATACATCAAGTACTAGAGCTCAGTCAGAAAATGCAGTTTCACTTTAACCTCTTCAAAAGTTGGCCTTGACAGTCCCCATGGGAAGGGACAGAAATTCTTCTACTGAGAGCAACAGCTATAGCTTATGCCCTGTCCAATTTTGTTTGGGATTTTTCCAGGTGTTATTGTTGCATTTGTGAGTCTTTAAGGGCTGATACTGTTGGATTTTATGGTGTTTTCTTTTCAGCGCTGAGAAAAGCCTTTCCTGAGGAGCGTGGTCAAGCACTGACATGATTACATAGTTTTCCCTGAATGTACCGTTTTGAAGTAGGGCAGGATGTGCCTCTCAAAGGCTACTTTTTTGTACATAACACTTGAATCCCTTCAAGGCTGATTTGCATTTGTACAGTTGATCTACTTGTTTTCCTCCTTCCAAATCAAACCAAACAAAACCTGACTGCAATACTACATACAAATCTGCAATCAGTTTTTCCTGATTTTTTTTTAAGAGTAATGTGTGAGACGTGTGTACCTCACTGTGCAATCTGTAAGCTAGTGTGTACTTTGAGAAGATGTCTGTCAAAGACAGTCAAGATGCTGACAATGGAATTTGCTTATAGTGATCCTTAGTAGAGAAAAATCCTTTTTTTAGATGGAAATCCAAACTGGCAGAAATGACAGACTGCAGTTCAGATACAGGAAGTTTTGTTCTGAGTAGAGCCTTTCTTGTAAGGATTCTGGTCTATCTGGTTTTACACCAGACTTGTTACCTGGATCTCATCTCACTTCATCACTCTCCAAGCTAAGCACAACCTGGTTTAGCATAAATTCTGTAGCAAGTCCTGCTACATTTTAGTGCCACACTTTACCAAAAAACCCACAAACCTGCTTGATTTCAATCTCATATTTTCTGTTATCCATAGTGAAACATAAATTTCAGTCCAAAGTCAAGTGTTTTTTTTTTTTTTTTTTTAAGGTGAACAGCTTTAAGAGCAAAACCTCCAAAAAGTGTAAGCAGTGTTTCTTGACATCTTTTAAGTTCATAACAAACACAAACAGAAACCAAAATCTTAACATTTCCCTAACTACCTCGGGGAATGGCTGCAGAATTTCTCATGGTCGCTCTACCACCTTCCTTTTTTTACTGTGAAACATCAGCAAAACACCCTACTTCTGGAACACTTTCTCCATGTTCTTATTTTTCTTCCTAGAAACAACAGCAAAAAATGCTTAAACTACCTAATTTTCTTCTAGTTTGTATGGTTTTGCTTTCAGAGTCCTAGAGGATTAGTTGCCTGGAGGGAAAGAAACACCAGCAACACGTATCTATAACAGTGTCATACCTAAAAACGAGGTACACCAGATGAGAATCTTACTGCTCTGAAACTCATTTCTCAAGGGTGAATGTAATGTGTCTTTTAGAAATTTCTTGAGCATTGTTACATGAAGATTCCTATTAGCATTGTGAACAAGAGTTTGGGTTAAAAAAAATACACCCTATTTTTGGATGTTTCTGAAATAAAATCATTATGAGCGGTCCTTGTAGAATTTTTTGGGGGGTGTCAAAGCAGACCATGAAGCTTCCTTAAGAAGAATCCATGAGAAAGGAACAGCTAGATGGCTTTTCACTATGACCCTGTTTTAATAGGTAACACTCTTCTATTGTCATGTAAGATTAAGAGAAACTAGCATAGTATTTCTGGCATAAGGGAAGCTCCCCTCAAGAAGAGACGTTAGGGGAAGGACTTACCCTAAGGAAAGCCTCAGACCTCTTAGAAGTCTCATTCCGTTCATTTTGTACTTCATTTTAGCTAAAGTAATATAAATTCATTTAACTGCTCATATAAAGAGCCATTTTTTGGCTGCTATCACCCCTGGCAGCAGTGGTGGCTGCAGCATCGGTTTGAAGGGTCTTGCTGTCCCCAGCTGGGAAACCCTAGACTCTCCCAAGGAAGCAACACTCTGCTCTCTACGTTCCAAAAGGTAACACGTATTTATTTGTTACACACATCTCTTTTGTGGTAACAGGGTACAAGGACACAGCACACAACTGCTAGCAAGGCATACGGCCCGAGCAAGCCTTCAGTCACTTGTGGAAATTAACGGCTTCCACAGCACTTTAAATCAAGCCTCCACAGAAAGACAAACCGGAGCAGCAGCAGGAAGGGTCCCGTGGCCATGGCGGTGCAGGCTGGGCCGCAACGCCGCGTCAGCGCGCATAGTTCTTGGGGAAGAGCTGGAAGAGCTTCCCCTCCTGTGTCTCCTCGAAGCCATACTTATGCAGCTGGCCCTCCTCGAAGACACCCGCCTGCACGTCCCTCTCGATGCGCGGCGCCACCACCTCGTCAAAGAGCCGCCTGGCCGTGAGCGGCGGCCCGGGGCCGGCGGGGGCGGGGGGCGGCCCCCAA